GACTATCCTGGACGTCCCATTGTGAAGAACGGCAAGTACACTAGCAACGTGATTGGAAACCTGAAGGCAGGCCACATTAACACAGGTTGATACAGAGTTACTGAGTCATTTACTCAGAAAAGTTGCTGCATGCCTTTGATTGGAGGCCTTCAGCTCCAACGAGCTTGCGTTCCTTTCCATGCTCTTCTTCGGTGTTGGTCTGTATGGCAACCTTCAGTTCCTTGGCTGTTTATTTTTTTGTGAAAAAAAAATATATCCTTTGTGTATAGGCAATATATAGGACAGTTTGGGCCGAGCTTGCTGCAATGCCAACTGTTTTGGGCCATCCAAGGTTCAACTATTACGACCCCCAGTGGGCAAAGGTTGATGCTGGTGGATACTTCAACGCCTCTTACATTGTGGAGTCGCTGCTGTTGCCCATCTCCTTCTTCATGCACATTGCCTGCTACATTCAGAAGCAGAACGGCAAGTAAGCACCAAGCAGTTGGCCGAGTCAATTGGTTCCAAAAGCTGAGCCTTTTTTGAAGACGGCTGCATGCTTGGCTCAAAAAGGGAGCGGACGTTTCGGTGTCAAAGGTGCCATTCTGATCAGCCTGTGCGGACGGAAGTACCTGCGAGTTCTCTGCTGGGAATGCAATGGCAAACTGAGGCGTCTGCTTGACAGCAGCCATGGCCATGAGTGGATTCAGAAGTGTCGGCCTTCATTTCGTTCGGACGGTTTTTCCGACTAAGTGCAGCACACAGTCACAGTGTGATCACAGTGTGATGGCAAAGTTGTACGCAAGGATCAGATAAGCTTGGACAGACTATTTGATTTATGACTTACACTGTGAACATGGGTGGGGTGCTGTGTCTTTCAACAAGGTGCGATCATTTCAGCTGAGGTTTGGCAAGATGCTCCACCTCAGGCCTCTTTGATTGCGAAGTTCTTTTGATTTCACAAACGAACCTGACGAGTTCAGCCGACGCGTCAAATCGATATCTTTTGTCGCTTTGAAGGCGCAGATGGATAGGAGGCCTTAATGCTGTCTGCTCAGTGTATGCTGTGCTAAATCTCAGCCTTGTGATGGCACACCTTCACAAAGCCGTGCTTGCAAATAGGATGAACATAGCATATGGGAAACGGGTATCGGTATATGAAATAGCAAGCCGTCTTGCGCCATTTCCGAGTCAGCAGATGGGTGCAAGTCCCCATCCGGTGCCTTTTCCATAGCCACACTCAGCTGCAAGTAGCCAAGCAGAAGCAGTTGTTCACTGACTTTGCGAAACTGACGGAAAGGCGAACGGCCTCCTTGAGGCTATTATCTCATGGCTTCCGTAGGAGGGGACAAACAAATAGTCCAATAGCTGCTTTTGAGGGGAAGCAACTTTGATCCTGAAATAAATCAAATTTACACATTTCTTCGTCTTCGTGGGCAATACAGTGACAGGGGAATACTCGCTGCGAAATGACACGCTTTGTCGAAATTGTGTGAACCCTTAGCCTTAGCCAGTCCGAGCTGGTTGCCATGCAACGAGCAGGACATCAGCGGCATGGCTGTCTGAAAGCGTTCGTTTGGCGTATGCTTGGCGACACCTTTGGGGAGTCCTTCTTGGATTTGTACTGGCCGTTGGACAAGCTGCACTGTGCCATCTACGTTTGCTTTTTGGTCTCCTTCTGTTATGCCTTTCTTTGGCTGTCCAGATTTGCACAGCTTCAGTGTGGCGTCTATCGCATCTTTGGGGGTTCAACGGCCAATTGCAGCTTTGAGGTGATCGGTTGTTTGGTGTATCTTTGGATGGCCTTCCTGTCTTTGAAGTTGATTTGGTATTACGACGACCTCAATGGGGATCGTTACCGTCAGCTCAAGGCCTCATTTTTTAAATCCTTTTTAGCACTGCTCAGTAACTTGCAGAGTGCAAAGAAGACGATCCACATGCTCCACGAAACCATGAGGGAAGTCCAAGACTCTGCGTACCGGTCACAGGTTCAACCTGCGGTAAATATGCTACGGGTCTGCAAGAAGCGTGACTTCACAGGCTGCAGTGGTCTCGAGGATGCCGTGGTCACATTTTTGTCAAGCTTGTACCCGCAGTCCGAGGAGACGAGGAGACGGTTGCGGCGTGAACTGCCAAACATTGGCGAGGCAAATCTGTCCAAGAACCTCTCTGAGGACATCATCAAGCAGTGGCAAGTCTTTCATGATGCGAAGAGAAGCTCCCTGGAGGCCTGTCAAAAAGGCAGAGGCCTTCGCATAGAGAGTGCCCATACCCTGGAGGAGGTCAAAACTTTAGGTTCACATGGAGAGGTGAAGAGTATGCAGCTCTATGTGCAGAAAGAGAACTCATTGGAGGAGATTGAGCTGGACTTTGATGTAGCCAACGAAGAGGTACGGCGAGAGGCTTTGCTCAGAAAATGGACTGAAAGAATGGAGAAATCCAGACGGCTCAACCCAGATAGCACTCATCGGCAATCATTCCATGCGCTAATCTCCGACAGCAAGCCAGTTGAGGGTGACTTCTCCTTGCTGCCGATGTGTGGCCTGCATCGTTTGCGCTGCTGCCTTCCCAGCATTTGTTATCACATTCCGCGGTGCTTGCAGAGATGCACATACCGGAGGGATCAGCTGCCGCTTCTTGAACGTCCGCAGTATGATGATAGAAGGTGTTCTCTTGGTCTTTGCTTTGTGAACTTGGTATCTCCACTCCAAGAGCAATTGCTCACGACACTTTGTTTCGCCTCAGCTTCCTTCCTATTTAATTTGGCAACAGTCGTTGTTGGATCTTTGGATGGTTGCCAAACGGACATACTTCCATGTGGCGTGTTGTTGTTTCAACGAAGCCTCAGTGTTTTTTGCACATTGGTTTTCATGGCTTCCACGGTCTACTGCCTTAAGCGAAATAATTTCAAATGTTTGGAGCCCTTGGTGACCTTGTTCGAGATGACTTCCGCACTGGAGAAGCTGGCTCGACAGGCAGAGGACTTCCAGGAGGTTCTTGGAAGCACCGATGAGATTTGCCAGAAGATCCGTGCCACGGAAAAAGCCAAGGAAGCACCCTTGAAGTTCCTCACAAGTTTCTCTGACAGCCATGGTCGCGATGACGAGGATCAGATGAAAAAGGATGTGGAAGGGTTCTTAAGTGCGATTGAAGCGCAGTGTTGACAATTGTACAGCAACTAGGAGCTGTGCGTCGCAAACGATGCCAATCCTGCGCAGTGTTTGGACGCCAGCTAGCAAAAGTTGCCTTGAATGGGACAGCAGGTGACAGCTTCTTACAACACTCTTGCGTCTTCCAAAAGAGCTTGCCACTCATGAGCCTTTTCAGTTGAGGCGTTCAATGAGACTATCCAACAGCATTCGTTAAGGTTGGAGCCTTGGATGTGAATCGCCAAGCATCGCAGTTTCGACCAACCACTCATGGAGAACAGTGGGTGCTTTTCCGATTCGAAATCTTTCGATTGCATCCATTGGGGCCGGGTCATTAGATAACGTCCACAGCATTTGATTCGTTCTAAAGGCATGGAGTGAAGCTTCTTGCAGTACGTCGATCTGTGGAGGCCCCTTTGACATGTCAAAGCTATGAGTCACCGTATTGACCCTGTAGTCAATACAAACATTTGTGACGCACTGCCTTCAATCAGGCATTCAGCTGATAAGAGCCAAGAAAACCTTGCTTCCTAATAAGCACAATTCACAATTGTTTGCAATGTCATGGTTTGCATCTATCAACAGAATATGTGCAGCATCCTGGTAGGCTAAGACGCACAACCTGCAAAACACGACCGTTTGCAGCTACAATGCCTCCATTGTGGTCTGACACCCAAGAGCTGGTTCCAGTCGAATCAGCTCATGAATCACTGGCCATAAATGGCAAAACAGAGGGCTGACTTCGGGGTTTGGAGCAGCTCAAGTGTTTGCAAGGCTCACAAGAAGACGAAAAGATGGGTTGGGAACCTTAGCTTTTCAGTTCAGCCTGGGTTTCCTGGAACTCACCAGCCGATGCGAGTGAGCCTAAGGAGTAGGACTGGAATCGCCTCACGCGTCTTTCGTGAGTTTGTTTGAGGCCCACGTGCTTCAACTCATTGAGGAGATGTGGATTCATCGATGCACGTTCCTGCCCTGATGGCTTGACCAAAGCCTGTAGTTTGTGACTTCCAGTCTATGCCTTGTGCTTTTGCAAGGCCTGATCAATACACATACAGCAGTGCCATCAGCACTTGTGATGCAGGTGGGCATTTTCATTTCAAGTGGTTTGACAAAGTCTCAAGGTGACTTCTTGGCGATTGTTGCCATTTATGCCGCAGCACGTGAGGTCCATCCTGGTCTTATGCCATTGCCTTAGCCAGCCAGATGGTGGAGAAAGAGATAGAGCCTTGAGCTTGGTCTGAACATGTCTGAAAAAGATATATCTTTTTTGTTGTGCATGTTGCATTTTGAACATGCTCAAACCTTTTTGAGCCAGTGCTTTCTCTCTGCTCAGGCCCAACTCAGTCACCACCAGCGCTCTCATTAGCTCTTGCTCCCGCGCTTCTCAGTGGCAGCCGTGATCCTAAAGAGCGTGTTTGTTGGCCTTCACAAGTTGTCATGAATTTTTGGCACTTGTGCTTGAGGATGGCGCCTCACTTGCCCACATAAGATTTAACTCACCTGCGCACACAGCCTTTTTTTATACATTTAACTCACCTGCGCACACAGGGTTCGCTCAGCTGCGCACACATCGATTACATTCTTCTTTAAACAGTGCATGTTACCTCCAACTCATCTGCGCACACAGACTTCGTTCACCTGCGCACACACAAATTGAGTCATGATGATCTCTTTTTGCTCATTGCTTCCACAGTACCACGTCACACAGATGCTCTGCGTTTGATTGATGATGTTGGGTTGGGATGGGGGGGGGGGGGGGGGGGGGGGGTGGGGGGGTGTTAATAACGTCCCTCTGGACATTCATCTACATGATGATCTCTTTTCGCTCATTGCTTCCACAGATGTACCATGTCCACAGTACCAGGTCCTCCAGGTCTGTGTGTCCTGCCTGGCCACGCCATGGGCCAGGTGCCGTGGGCCTTTCTTCTCAGCTTTGTGAGGGCGGCTTGTGAGGGCTACTAGTAGCAAGGACGCTACTAGGAGCAAAGGGCATCGCTACTAGGAACAAGAAGCTACTAGGGGCTCATGGCCTTACTACTAGGAGCAAGAAGCTACCAGGAGCAAAGGCCTTTGTCCAGGCCTTGTCCGGGTCTGTCCTGCTTGTCCGCGTTGTCGGCCCCTTCGTCATCTCCTTGTCCGGCCGTATCCCCTGCTTGGAGCTTTGTCCAGGTATGCTTTCGAGTGGTATGAATGCAACAACGATGCAGCATTTGATATCATCCTTGTATTTTCTCATGATATATATTTCTTTGTGTTTGCACATGTGACTTCGGGAATCAGGAACGATTCCTTTCTAACATTTTGTTTACATGCTGTTCCCAATGCAGACATTACCAACAACTTTGAAGTTCAAGCAGTTGACGCAAGAAACTGATGTAAAACCGTTTGGGGTCTATGTTGGTACAATTGTTTATTGTCAGGAGAGCCTTGGTTGTTTTTGAGTCCAGTTCGTGAGGAGCTCAGCAGTTTTTTCAGTGTCGAGTCGGCTGGTCAAGCCATTTCTTGACAGTATGATGTAGGATGTGACCGTGTAGTTCGCCGGATGGAAGTAAAAACGAGGCGGAGCAGTGTGGCAATCAGCAATGCTGCCATGGGGGCTTGTGTGGCTTGTCTTGCACGTTGGTGCGATGGTTTACTTGAAATGCACAGCAGATGCTGTCCTGGTACGTTGCACGGTGCTGTCAGTATACTCGGAACTCACGCTTTCTCCATCGTGGCGAGGAGAGAGAGAGAGTTCCGACGTGCCACGAGTGAAAGCTGGACCGGGCAATGATACCCCGCGTCGCTCTCCGTGGTGGTGGAACGACCGGGTCGCCCCGCCGCCTCTCGAGGTCAAGGCCTCGCGTTGGTCTTCCGCCTTGAAGCTCTCTCAAAGGACGGGTGCAACGTGGCGGGCCTCGCGAACCCACGCGGCACGTGGCGTCGCGAGGCATGAATATCGTCGGGTTGCTGCGCGAAGTCGCGGGTGCACGTGTCGAGATGATATTCACAGCTATATAATCATGTGGCCATGCTCTTTTGAGAATCTAATGTTTTGGTTGCAGATGTCCTTTCAAGGATGTGGCAAGAGAAACTGGAAATGGACCTGGTCAGCTTGAAGCCCAGTGGTGATGTTCCGGTTGCCCTGACAGTATAGCTTGGAAGATCATTTTCTCAGGTCAGGAGTTTCAGGGATGGGCCATGGTTGATTACAATGGTATAGACGGTATAGAGCAATAATGCTGTACATGGAAGCGAAGGCAGTGTGACAATGTTTCCAGGTCGGGATGCTTGCATGACTTGTACAGTACAGGAATGATAGGCAAAGCTTCAAGGTTCCAAACAATGGCAGAACATGAAGGCATGTACAGGATCACCTCCAGGAATGTCAGGTTGAAGGCCTTGAAGGCCCGCCCTTGAGGTTTCAACTCTGCCATCCATGCCTGTGATCAGGGAGGCGCCTGGGCACAGGGCCAAGTAGCAATTTTTGACTATTGATTGCCTTTGGTACAGGTAGAGTCCTTCAAACCCTTTGTGTTGTTTGAAGGATTTGAAGGGTTTGAAGGGTCAAGCTGTCAAGCTCCGTCTACGAACTTTGACTTAGCCGCTAGTCAGCTAGTGTGACTGGAACTGCTTCCTGTGGAAGATGTGAAACTTGTGAAGTGCTTGAAACCGGGACCTCAGGTCGCAGCCCTACGGCTCCTGAGCCAGATGGAAGACATTTCTCTTCAACCTGATACAGTCAGTGAGGTGCCCAGCATAACAAGACTGTTGGGCTCTCAGTTGTTCAAGAGCAGACCTTGTCCCTGAAAGATTGCTGATGATTCTCATGATCAAACAACATCAATAGTAGATTCTTTCTTGTAACATTTGCAGCGTGAAACTGCATCTTCTTGAGCTACCAGCTTGGGGTTGTTTGTGCACAGAAGACAGATAAACGCATGGAGGGCCTCCTGCTGATTTCCTCATAAGAGAAGCAGCAGGCATGCCCCGGTGCTTGCAAAGGCATTTTTCAATCCATATCTTCGTAAACTTTAGATATAGTTCCATACTTACTAGTCAAAACTGCTTTGCACCTTGATATCGCTTGCCTAAGAGTGGCTCAGCCGAGGTCTGAATGCAGCAATCAGTGCTTGCTCTCAGGCAAGTCATGTAGCCAATTGGTTCTTGATGAGTGAAAGGCTCCTCGCTCCGTCGTTGGTTTCTCGCTTTGTCCCTCGTCTTCTTCGCACTGATACGGATAGGGCCAACGGTGGGCGGCTGCTGTACATTTGCTTTCAGAGATGCCTGCGAAGAAGGCGAGGGAGGAAGGGAACTGAGAATAGTTGTCTACCGGTTATATAAACATTGAGGATGGTTCTGTGGAGAAGGGGTAATTAGGCCGGCAACACTGGATTGTTGGAAGGTCGTACCTGATTTGATTAGCGCTTGCCTCAGTGCATTCCAGGCAATTTGCATTGAATGCATCGAAGCAGGATCCCTTTGATAAAATTGTCCATTGGAAAAAGGAAGTCACTCGTTAGAGTAAATAAAGATAAAGCCAAGCAATGCTGAATATTCTCATGACTAAAAAACGAGCTATTGTTGAATTGGAAAGTGTTTGCGTGGATTTGGGCAAGAAGCATGCCAAGGTTACGGATTGAGAATGAACACAAGTCACAGTTATTTTCATGAACGTTTCATGCCTCCTGAAATGTCTCATTGTCTTCAAAGGAGTCCACCTTTGAGGTTACAATGCCACGATGAATGCAGCCAAAGCAGCCAAGCTTTGGCCTTTGTCGCTTCATCTTCTTGATCAGGTGCTGAGTGACACCGATTTTGAGTGGGTCAAAACCGCACACCCCAAAGACTAGGCTATCCAATCATGTTGTTCAGTACCAATCATTTTCGGAGGAGACAAGTGGAGACAAGGCAGCAAACCAAAAGGGTGATCACATAGGCAGACAACGTGAGATATGCAAGGAGACAAGTGGGGAGACAAGCCAAAACCGCGATCGCGCAGGCAGATAAATGGGGAGATACAGAGAAAATATATAAGTGGGAAGACAAGCCAAAACAACACAGGCAGATAAGTGGAGAGATATGTAAGGCGACAAATTGGGGGCACAGCAGCTGCAAACCAAAACGGCGATCACACGGGACACGTGTATATTCCCTGGCGTCAATAGTCTTGAACTTGCTTCACCTGGAATCTGTATCTGGTTTATTTCATTTGATCGTCTCGGTCTTTCTGGCTCTGTCAAGGAGCTGGAAAAGTAAAGCATTTGGGAAATACGTTGGGAAACTTTGGGTCACAAACCCATAGCGTACCGGGTGTGGGATGGGAAGGATACTTTCCGTCTCATTTCTTTACATTGCGGTGCCATTGCTGTGATATAGGGTTTTACTTGTAGCCAGCACGCTGCAAAACACGATTTTGCGAATGCTTGGCAACAGTGGCTTCCTTGCTTGTCCGTGCTTCTGACTTATGAGTCGAGACTTTTGTAGCCACTTTTGTTCAGTCCGTGCAGCCGAAATGGGTTTATCTTGCATTCCCCCTCTCAGCGCCAGCGATGGCCAAAGCATTGTCGGCGACCATCATCCTGGCCGCCTTTGCATACAGTGTATGCAGTGAGGCTGCTGAGGTGGAGGTTTGCAAATACATGACGAATACCTACACTGGCAAGCATCAGTACTTCAACCAGGGGGTGTGCACACAAGTTCTGCACGGCTCCGCAGTTGCATCATCTGAGAGCCCACAGCCAGTTGCCTTTGTCTTGACAGTGGCGTGCGTATCTGATTCTTGCGGGGAGTGCGATGGTGATCCTGTGAAGTTCTACGGCCAGTGCAATCAAGGCTCTTTGACAGGGTACATGTTTGACGGTGCTCTCTTCAACATGACAGGCGTTTTCGTCGGTCCACTTGACGGTATCTCGCTTGTCATCGATGCGGGTGGCCACATTGACAGTCACTATGAGTTCAACAGGACAGGCCTTGCTGCTCTCGCGCCGCTTCATGTGTGACTGCAAGGGGGCGTAGGTGCCACTGCAGCAGGCAGGCTTTGGCACAGCATCCATCTTGACACTATGAGCTCGACCAGACGGGCCTTGCGCTCGCGCCGCTTGATGTGTAAGTTTGTGGGCATATGCGCCTGCAGCAGGTGCACAGGCCTCACATTTTTCATGGCCGCTAAAAGGAGGGATTGGTGGGCCTGGTCGATGGTTCGTCGTCGTCGGTTCTGGATAGACGACATTGAGCGCCAGACGGCAAATCCATCATCAAGCGACATGAGCGCCGGTGTCACTGGGTCCGGTCGCTCCATGGGGCAGCGCCAGGTGCAAGGGTCAAAGATCACGCCGAATTTGATCTCCTTCAACACCGTCCTGGTGCGACCGTCGGCATACCTTAGCCTTAGCTGTCTGAAGAAAGCAAAATCCCATAAAATCCCATTGTTCGCATGCGTTTTCTATCGTACCTCCTAGTAGCAATTTGGATAAGATGTTTGAGCAGGAAGTCATTTGCAAGGTCGACTCACTTTTGTTGCTTAGACGATTTGATATAGTAGTAAGGTTGGTAGGTGATCATGCACTCCAAACGAGCACAATGATACTTGTGCCTCTCTACCTGCTCACGGCATGCTGCACCACTGTTTACTCAGTAAACTCTCGACTCTCGTCTTGGCGCATGGAGGCCGCCTGCGAAAAATCTGGACGGTGGATCTCAGCTCAACAAGTCCTGCGACAAATGAACGAGAATGCTCTTCCTCCTGACAGGCAGGCTTTGCTTGTTTTTTGTTGCAATGGAATGTCATGACTCATAACTCACGACAGTAAATATCATTGAGGCGCAGCTGGACTTCGTTGGCTTTGAACTCAGCTTTGGACTGCAGATGCATGCATGAATTTCATTAAGGTTGGTTCTTTCTTCCCATATGCAGGGTGCAAGTGGCCCCTGCATTTCCTTTCATGCAAGGTGGCATGCTTCTCTCGAGGGAGTAAATGGATGGAAGCTCATGGCACAATCCAGGAACTTCGCCTGGCCCCCAACACACCCCAGTGGCAGTCCTTCCCAACTGTTTGAATTTGTTTTCTACTAGGCTTCCAGACTATGCTTGCTCAGGTCAGATGCGCTTGCAACAAGACATGATGATTATTGGTGCAGCTGCCAGTGCAGCTTGTTTGAAGAGGTGATTACTTTCACACCAATGGGTTCAGTGAACTGATCCTTGTGCCTTCAACACGGGTGCGGGCCTTCCAGAGGCCTATCAGCGCGGGCATCAGTGGCTGTTTGCCATGGAGGTCTTCTCACAAGTGTCCGGAGACTGAGATTCGGAGATTGACAAGCTGCGCCGGTGTACAAGGCACCGGCAACAAACCATAAAGCCACACCAAAGGCAACCTCCAAGGCTTGGCCTGGGTCTTGTAGAAATAGACATGGACGGACAGAATCGGATAGGCCAGGAACATCCAGGAACCATTCGAGCAGTGTTGTGCCCAGGCTGAGTCTGAATCTCCAGCCTGATGAGCAGTTGTATAGCTCGGTGATTGCTGCTTCTGCCATGGCACTCCAGTGGGAGGTGCCACTGTCAGGATCCGGTGTTGGGAAAATGCCAGACGAAACATGTCAGCCAGGAGCAGTTAAAGAACGTCTTTTTCGTGTTGGTAGCGAGGCATAGAGATGTCCAGGGGCTGAGGTGAAGCAAGTCATGAGTCATGAGGTAGACATAGGTGTCTATGTGACAGCCGAAGTCTCCAGAAGCTTTCGGCATATCGAATTCAGACCAAGCTTGGCAACTTATAACGGCCTTTGGCCACCCTTCAACTAGTATTGGTTCACTGCTGAGGTTCTATGTCAATCTGAAACAAAAAGCCCCCTTGGCAGTCCATGATTCGCAACCTTGTCAGACTGCTATGAGCCTTCTGCAGAGCATGCCAGCAAGGCGGGCGATGCGACGATGACGATGGCGTATTCCTTGTTCTGTCTTGGCAGAAGATTATGCAGATAAGATCAGTTGCACAGCTCGAAAAGATTGGTGGCATTTTTCTTCAGAGCAACCCCAGTTTTTATTCACCAAGGAGTTTGCAATTGTCACAGAAGCAGGCTTGTGGATCAAGTCTCAAAATGGACGAGCAGCAACGACATGCGGACTTTGGTGATGTTAGCCAGGCCAAAAAGCAAGATGTGGCCCCTGTTGCCAGCATGGTACAACTTGGAGAGGAGGACAAAGATCTAGCACAGTTTTGGTACGAGCCCCACACTTTGCGGTGTTTACGTGATCAGTGCCTTACAGAGGACGTGAAGCGGATTGCACTCTTGTCTGCTCCGTCCCTCTTCTTTGCACTGGAAGGAGAAGAACGAGCAAAAGCGATTCTTTTCGAATTCGATCGACGCTGGGAGGACAATGCAGGATTTGTGTTTTTTAATTATCGGGATTCTGGTGAGGATTCAGAATGGCTTGAAGCCTGGACTGGTAGCTTTGACCTTCTTGTGGCGGATCCTCCCAATTTGCAAATGAGCACCTTGCAGCAGTATGTGACGGTAATTCAGAAGCTCAGACGATCTCAGCATTCCAAGATCCTCTTCGTGACAAGTGCTGACTGGCGTCACTATCTCTTCGAGACTTTGGGCTTGATTGAAGTCAAGTTCAAACCATCAATGCCATCATCAGTCTGGTCCCAGTGCGGCAAGTTTGGACTGTTTTCCAACTACAGCGATGGGAGCTTGAACGCTGATAATCCAGCAGCTCCGATTGACGCTCATGAAGATGGCGAAGAAGACTACACTGGCTACTATCTTGGTTTGCCTGCTCATGAGATATGAGATGATATGAATATGAATGAATATATCGCGAATGAGCCCTTTCTCGATTGATGCGGCTGGCAAAGTCCAAACAAAGACCAAGCAGGAGAATTGGTCACCCCTTCCTTTTCCTTTGCAGCTTCAAACCTAATAGCGATGGCCTCCAAGTGATCCTAAGAAACCAGATTGATTACACTCAATCAGATTCAGATACGGTGTGTCCCGAAGTCCTTGCCGCAAGTTGACCGCATGAGCCTTGCTCACGCCCGCGGGCCGCCCTGGTCATCCCCAGCTGTTAGTCTTTGTGCTTTCTCCACACGTCGACTTGGTGGGACTGCTATGTTGGTCCAACCGACAACTTCGGACAGCTGCGCGCAAGGGATTCACGCTGTCTTAGTTCACGCAAGGGATTCAGTGGAAAAGTGCTGGAGATGCCGGGGGCTTGTGTGTTTATCGCCGTTGGACGTAAAGTTTTCCTTGGGCAGGATCTGAGGTAACAGACAAGGCCAACTTAGTGTCCTTTTTGTGAGACTGTTTGTAATTGTGGGCAGGTCAATAATCTAGCTATATTTGGATTCTGCCACACAAAGCCCAGTCAGTGCAAGCAATGAAAGGACCAAATTTTGATGGATCTTCATAGCTGGAGACACGAGCTCTTGAGTTTTTGCTTGGGGTATTGTAGAAGCAGGATTCATCACTTGGTTATATGCGTTTTGGTACCGATTTAATCTTTGATTTGGACTATGTAGGCGACAGTTCAGCTCAGTGACTCAGGGCAATGCCTGTGGTGAGCGATTACAAATGGTTTTGTTCGTGGTTGCTTTTTGAAATCCTCGTTTGATTTAAATACACCCTGCCTAGAAATGTCAGCCTTTCAGCCTGAGCCGGGAGGTTTTGATGACCAGCATCCATCTTGGCAACACCTTGCCTTCCCAATGCGACCGTCCGCTTTTGGAATTTCGGTTGACCGCAGGCGGCTCCAAACAACCTCTGCCAGTTGTGCTCCAGTCTTGACAGCCTTGCTGGAGCGGTACATCGGATTTGTCGGCGTTTCTCCAAATGCAAAGAGCCCCTAGTAGCTTCTTGTTACTAGTAGCGATGCCCTTTGCTCCTAGTAGCTTCTTGCTCCTAGTAGTACGGCCAGGAGCCCCTAGTACTAATAGCGTCCTTGTCCATTGTGAAACGTTGGGGGCAGTAGCTTGTCATCTTTATTCGTAGAGTTGCACACGTTGGTAGAGGAACATCATCGTTTGGTCATGTTGGCTGGATGTCATTATTCGATCTGCCAACTAATTAAAACTACTGCTTGGAGTTTGCCATGATTTCGCCCAGGAGGCGAAGCACTGGATGAAGGCTTTGGAGCTTTTCAATAAGCCTGGTTTGGTGGAAGCCCAAGGAATAGGTGGTTTCACTGTGCACACGAGCTCAAAGCGCCATGCCCCGCCAAAGCGACAGAGCTGGGAACTTGACGAGGCAAAGGACACGCAGATGTACAGTCGGATGGTCATGGTGTGCCCAACTCAGATGCACCGGGCGATCTACTTGGCTTACTTCGTCGATTCATGGAGCTGCAAGACATGTGGAAAACACTGAAATCGCAAAACAAAGACTGCAACTGTTGTTTCTCTTGAGATTATGTAGATACTTTGTTATAGCAAATTTCTTGCAGAACGAAGTTAGTTGCTGTGAAGTAATGCCTTTTTATGTCGTTGTTTTGGACCCTCTTAAACAATGTTTTATGTTGTTATTCTTGGTCTTTCTTTCTTCCACTGCCACTTGCTTTTACTAGGCTACAACTACGGATGTGCACCTTCCCTTAAAATTGTATTCTGTCAAGTATGAAAGTCTTATTTACCAAGGCAGCAGCTTTGTACTTGATCGTTTGTTGAGAAACATGCGTGGTCAGCACATTTCTTCACATTTTAGTTGTTTCCACTGCTTTCATACTTTCCATGCAGCGCATACACGGAGCGCAAATGAACAGCTGATGCAGCATTTCATGATCCTGGCAACTCTACATCTTGAGCTTGGCAACACTTCCAAGAGGTGCATATCTAGACTCACATGGCTCGTAACACCTGTGTGTGACTTGAGAACATTTGACTCAGAAACTCTGTTGGCCATATGAAAGAATGAAAGACATAGGACCCGATCCGAAAGCAGAGCTCCACAAAATCTCTCCAGCAAATCTACCTTCCTCGCAACCAAGTGTTGGCAGCTAGCAAAACAGTCTTCTGCAGAATCATGGCAATCTGAGCCGGACGTCGACTGTGCCTTGGGCTCCTGAATCCCTGTGCAATAGGAAAGCAATGCAGTTTCGCTTCAGAAGAGGACTTTGGGGCTTCGGTGTGAGCAACTGGCACAAAAGGTCATGGCACAGGTAGGAGGCAGACCGTTCACTTTGTCCAACATGCCATGCAAGCCCCACCAACGCAAGGCAAGCCGTGCCACGCGTGAGATCTGTGGGGCATGTGGTTGACACAGTCAGCAAATTAGACAAGTGAGTGTAGGAAAGTGGCCCACGAGTTAAGTGCCACTTGAACAACTACTTTTTGACAACAAGCCTCAGCAAAGCCTCAATGCATAAATTGTAGTTCAAACTTCTTCTCAACATGCCCGTTGAAATCAGATAGAGAACCAGTCAACCAAGCGCACGCTTCTGAGTTGTTGTTCCACCGAGCTTGGGTGCTGGTGCTAGACGCCGTTGTTGTGTGCGCTGTGTGCGCTTGAGCTGGCGCCGCTGCAGTTGTGGAGGTTGGTGCTGGTGGTGCCACAGAGACCAATACGTTGCAGGAACATGTTTCAATCATTGACATAGATTAAAAGAACTCAGCCAAGCTGTTTTGAAAGGGCATCGACTTCTCTGTGTTTTGCACCGCGGTACATAGTATTGGAGTTCCGATGGTGAGAAAACCAGGGCTCTCTGGGAAGAACTTTGGCGTCAGGTCAGGCAGCTCCAGCTTGGGGGAGAGCAGTGCGCGGTCTTATTTGATTGCAACTCACCTCGGCCGCCGGGCCCGAAGCTTTTTCTAAGGAACTGGTTCAACCAGTCCTGTCGCCAATAGCTTCTCTTCACGAGGAGCAGCGTGTCATGTCGCCAATCCTGTTCACAGGAGCGTGACAATCTCCAGATGTTTCATTATGAACAAAGACACCGAAAAGAGAGCTGTCGAAGAATGCCGTGCTCTCTAAAGAACACGCATCATGCAAAAACATGGGGTGAAGTGGGAAGCTTTGAGCATTGGGAGCCAAGAAGAAGAACATGTACGAGAAGGAACAAAAGTTGCGCCACGCCCAAGTCCCCCAATGATTCTGTACTGGTGGTGGTGACGTCGCCCACTTTCCTTTTCAAGGTGCGCTAACGGCTTTGCAATCCCACTTGTACACCTCTAAAACTTGCAAAGATAGCTGCCCTTCGTACTTCAAGCTCCACTTGGCACGCTTGCCATGCAGTCTTCACCAGCATTCTTTGCAAACAAAAACAGAAACCAGCGCTGTGAGCGTGTGTATTTTCAATGTTTCTTATGCAGAGGAAAATCTAAAACTTTTAAGTATTTCCTATGCACGGGAGAATATGTGAATACCAAAAATACCAAAAATACCAATCCTCTGGAGACATATAGGCCACCTGAGTAGTATTTCGTCTAGGTCTTTGGTATTTTTGGTATTTCTTTGGTATTTTTGATATGTTTGGTATTTTTGGTATGTTTTCTAGGTTTGATATTTTTGGTATTTTTTCTAGGTCTTTGGTATTGTTGATATTTTTGGTATTCTTGGTATTTGGAGGGAGGGCTAACTATTCCTCTACAGGATGTGCATTTTTTTGTATTTTTGATATTTTTGGTATTTTTGGTATTTGGAGGGAGGGCCAACTATTCCTCTACAGGATTGTTTTTTTTTGTATGTTTGACATTTTTGGTATGTTTTTGTATTTGGAGGGAGGGCCAACTATTCCTCTACAGGATTTGTATTTTTGGTATTTGAGGGGGGGCTACTGTTTTTCTTGCTTCTCTTTTGGAGTTGCTCTCCTGATATTATATGTGGCTAAGTATGGTCTAAACGGCCTAAGTCCGGCTACGGGTCGCCATACTTATATAGGTGGTACTTGGTAACGTTGCAGTGTAGTTGCTAAGGTTAGCTAAGTTTTGATAAGCTTTGCTAAGTGCAAGCTAGGTTTTGCTAAGTTTGCTAACGTTTGCTAAGTTTTTGTAGTTGTTATATTCAATTTTGAAAGTGTTATGGTTGGCTGTTTTGTTGTTCGAACTCGGTTGTTGATTCAATTGTTGAATGAAATCAGTTGGTTAGATGTGGTGCGGTTGAAGGAAGGTTGGCTTGGCATTGATTTGGATGTAATGTGTTCTTCTTCTTTGTTTCGTTTAATTGGATTGGAGTTGATTAGGCTAAATTTGTTTTGTTTTTGGATTGGAGTTGATTGGATATGACTGGATTAGATTTAACCGGACTGGATTTGTTGATTTAGCTACGGGAAAAGTAACAAAGACATGTACCACAAGCGCGTCAAATCTCAACAAAAAGATACCCAACATGTTTTCAAGCATGTGCATCTCCAGTGAGCCGTCTAGGCAAGCAACATAGATTTGGTGAAAGCCACTTGCCCAACAACAGGGTTATCAATTCAATTACAACAGGTCCAGCTCAAGTTTTGCCGCGTGGCTGCTTATCCAGATATGGTTCCCGCTGTTCAGGAACAATTGTATCTTCAACTTGCGGTTGCCCAAGCGTCCCTGAACATGCGCAGCAAGCGTTGGCATTCAACACCGTGCGCCTGTGGCAGCTCTTGTTGCTTGTGTTGTACTGATCGTTTCTATCCAAATGCCAACGAACTTTGCTATAAGGTCACCAGCCCACAGCACCTCCCCAACCAACAGCCTGCTCAAAAGATGGGAGCTGTGCCAATATCGTAGAGCCGACCGACTGCCCGTGTCCACATGCCAGCTGAAGAAAACCCAAAGATGTAATCAGGACTCCAGTCAGTATTAACTTGAAACAACGCCTCACTGCTGAGTGATCAAATGTCTTCAAACCACCACCCACTTTCCAATCATGCAACGGCGAAAACAGAGTGAACCAAGCCCAGAGAAAAACATTCACTTCTAAGCTTTGATTTGGAAAAAGTCAGGTGTGAGCAGCACAACCTGGTGGAATTGAAGCAGCCCCTCTTGGAGTCTTTGGTCCATGACCTGGCTGCCTCTGCTGACCAGCAGAGTCTGTGGGCCCCAGCTGAGTGGACATGTGGACATGTGAAGGGCTTTTTTGTTCTTGTGAAACATTGGCGCAAGTTCGAATTTCCCCATGTCCAACATCAGTCTACTCGCAGACAGTTATCATAGAATTTCATGGGTTGAACTTCCAGGGATGACACGAGATGCTGCAGAAAAACCTGATCAATTGTACATATTGTACCCAAAAGGCCCTAAATAGTTTATCTAATTTCTGTTTCTCTAGAAGGTTTGGTTTGTTTTTCCATCCAACTAGCTTTCTTGAGGGCATTTCTTTGTGGGAGACATGTACCGACGCGCTGTGCCCCAAGGCCTCACCACATTGGTCGCCGGCCGGTCGGTTTCACGTAGACCCGGTGCACGGGCGCGGGATGTGCCACTCTCTGGGAGCGTGCCATGGCGGCCGTATGCCAAGGAGGGAGGGAGTTCGGTTTTTTCGATTGAGTTCCGTCTTAGAAGGCTTGAGGAGGCAATTGGACGATGTGTGTCATTTTTCACTGAAATCCAGAGAACCAACGCCAACCAGAGATTGTCCTTTTCTAAGGTCCAATATTTTTTTAATTGCAAAATATTGTTTTCTTTTTTTTTTAACCAAGTGGTGAAGAGGACTCGATCTGAAAAGGAGATTCGCCTCATGGAGCACATCTTGGAGACGGCCGTACAAGGCGATCCGGCCTCCGTGTGCGCGGACCCCCGGCGTTGGCGTTCAACCGCTGAGGACGGCCCCATTTAGTAGCAAGAAGCTACTACTAGTAACAAGTGCTGTACTACTAGTAGCAAATAGCTACTAGTAGCTTCTTGTTACTTGTGGTCATGCCCTTGTTACTAGTAGCGATGCACTTGTTACATCTTGTTGGTGGTGAAATCAAGAGCTAAATGTCTAAAGGCTCTAAGGCCTGGCAAGGCCTGGTTGGTAGTACGGGGATGACCTGGGATGTTTGGAGGAGGCCCCCGCAGGGCAATTGGAGTCCTAGCTTGCCAAGGTGATGCCTTCGAGAGCTTTGGTTTGAACATGTCAGGCTGGACTGCTAGATGGCAGAGGAGACATCCGGCAAACAGTGTCGTCACAGAATCGTTGCTAAATTTCTGCTGCACTAAAAGTCGAATGCGCGACCTCCAAAGCCGTTGGATTTGTGGCAGTTGATACACTTTGTTGCTGGACAGCTGGGAAGAATGGACAGCAGCTGCTGATTTACATAGACCACTCTGAGCCTGGAAAGACTTAAAAGACACATGAAAAGACAGATGAAAGGCATTAGGACTTAGGCGACAAGCATCCGATCTGCAGACATCATGGGTATTCGCATTGGTCTCGCTTTGGGCGCCAGCGACTCCTCCAAGCTGTGTCAACACTGGTGTTTTTTCTTTTTCCTTTCTGTGTGTCGGCAATGGGATGAGACGCGGCTTGCGCCCGGATGGACATGCGTAGCTTGGCTGAGTGTGTAGCAAGGAAGGTTCTGCCAGTGGTAGCAACCTCCATGTTTTTACCCATGTTTCTGCTTCTTGACAGAATGCCCTTGACCATGCTCAGATCTTATCAATGTTGACCATGAAAGCTGTGAGAGCCATGAGAAGCCTGCGCCCTTCTCGAACTTAGCTGCACACAGGAGGCTCGGGATGAGGGCAAAAAACAAGCCGTCAGACAGGAGTGGCAATTTTTAGGCATGAAACTCCTTTCTATCGATACTTAGTTTCGCAGAGACTCCCATTCCTTGGCTATTGCTTTTTGAGCTCAATGAAAGGATCGGTTCCAGAACCTTCTTTTGCAAGATGCCTGGGATTTTTGCGAGCTGATCGAGTCGTCTGCAGCTTGCTGAAAGGCTAATCACGATCAAATACATGGGCGAAGCGATGTGGATTTTGAGCGAGGCAACATGGATCCTACTTCTACCGCAGGCTCGGTGCACCGTTGTTCGCAAGGTGACTCTGCAAGGGTCCTTGCTTTTCTATCGAACACATGTCATATTCGAGATTGTCTGAAATGCTTTTGTTCTGGATTGGAGGTTTGCATGCCAACTTCGTTCCTTGCCCTGGTCTTTATCTCTTGGGCAGCAGCACTGGACTTCAGAGAAAGTAAACAGCCTGGCGTTTGGTTTCCCTCTGCAATGCAGGCGTGTGAGACGTGTCGGCAGTATCTGGCAGTACTCAACAGATATGAAACACATGGGATTGCAGGCCTTTTGGCTCTTCTGGAATATGATTTGGATGCTAGATGAGGCACCTCAGCCAGAGTCAGGTGAACAAGCATTCTCAACAAGCAATCCCTAAGGATCCTTAAGGATTGCGTCACGCATCGGTGGCTTTTCTTTGACCTGTTCTTTGTTCGTTTATTTCCATTTTGTCTTTTGCTACGACTGTGCCTTTTGCCACCCGCTTTTGCTGCATTGTTCAGATCCTTTTTGTATACGCAGGTATTTTGGGACGAGCCCGATGAGCAGACTCCTTGGGCCCAGACCCCGCTTTTTGGAGAGAATGAGAAGAGATATGCTGCAGTGCAAGAGTACTGATCCTTAGCAGCTGTTGGCAAACAACTGTTACTGTTATTTAGTATTTTCTTTTCCTATAAACCTAGGAATCAATTGAATAGCTCCCCTCCGTCCTCTGTCCTGCTACTGGTAGCGTCTTCAGTGCCAAAAGCTGCTACTAACTAGTAGCCTATACCTCTTCCTCTAGCGGCCTACCGCCCCGCCGCCGCCGCTCCCCCTCTTCACCAAAAAAGACAAATCTGAGGTAAGAAGTTCTTCTTTCTGGCTCCACTTCTGTGGATCTCGGCAGTGCTATATCAACTCTTCAAGGGAATTAGCATCAAGGCAGATGAGCAATTGGACCCTTTCCCGAAGATTGTTTGACGTGATCAGACGGATTCATGTAGACCTTTGATTGACAACACCCCCTACCACAATGGTTTGACATCTCCATATGTGGGGTTTTATTGATCAACATTAGGAGGACAGTTTTTCTACCCAAGCCTTTTAAACCAAGAGCTCCAGCGGTCCACATTTTTTGGGCTCCAGGCCACCAAGAGCCGTTCCACATACTGCTGGCGGTCGAATGTGCGAGAATTGCTTTGGCATTCCGGATACATTGCCATGTGGTGACTCTCTTGGCAAGGGAGAGACAGGTACATGTTGCGGCTCCAAGCATTCTAACAAATTCTGACAAAGCCCTATGTAGTTTTCCTTCTCCCGAACAACTCCCAGAGATCTGCACCCCTGGGATTGCTGATGTTGACCAGTGAAAGATGGTGTTGGCTCTTGCACAGCTACAATATTATGTCAGTCAGCCTATCCGACAACCCTGCAGTGACTTGGGTGTTGTTTTGGTGTCGAGGTCCTCCACTGATGGGTTTTGGGCATGCGGTTATTTGTGGTCAGCGACCGCCAGCGCGGTGGCCGCAATCTCAGACAATTCTTTGGCCACCGAACTTAGCTGTTTCACAAAATAAGGACTAGTTACGTCCGAGACATGTGATATAGAATCATTAATGAGACCAATTAAAATAAAACGTGTTCCTGTAAAGATGAAATCGGATGGGGTCATGATTGGCATAGGTATCAAAAAAAATTCCTATCGAATCAATAAAACAATATTTACCGAATCAAACAATAAATATTTACTGAATCAAAAAAAAACTATTCGTTGTGCGATGAAATCCCTTGGAATTCCCAGTCGTGTAGGTGGCCGGTCCTCTGGTCCGCTGGTCCCCTGGTCCGCTGGTCCTCTGGTCCGCTGGTCCTCTGGTCCGCTGGTCCTGGTCCGCTGGTCCCCTGCAGTCCGCTGGTCCACTGGTCCGCTAGTCCCTTGGTCCTTTGGTCCTTCGTCTTTCTTTCTTTCTTTCTTTCTTTTTCGTAGCTGTTCTCCTTTCTCTTTTTTGCTTTTGCTTTTCCTTTTGTTCGCTTTGCAGAGACGAAGCCAAGCAAGGAAGCGAGCAAGCAAGGAAGCAAGCAAGCACGAGCTGCTCACCTTTGGATCTGGTGTGCTGCTGGGGGGGGGGCTGCGCCCCCCCC